AGAGCAGCGCTCACATTATAACTGAAAACGTCAAATTGCTTCCATCCTTTCTCATTCACAGTTTTCTTGTCCAAGTTGTTCAGGAGAAGTATACTCCTCGAACCCCGAAAGGTATGTCGCTTGATGTCATCCTCAGACTTTGGGTCTTCTGTGTGATAAGCAAACACGACTTTTGTAGTTCCTTGCTGAAAGAAACATTGAGAACAAAATTGCATTCAGTTGCAGCTCTTTCATGCTCAAATGGAGAAAGAAAATTTTGTAAAGTCAAACAAATTTGAATGAAAAGAATATATGTTAAATGCTTAAAGCGGGTTTTATACCTCGATATTTCTGTCTTTAGTATCACAGGTGTTAAAATTTCTTTTAAACTTCAACACGGTGTTGCCCCCTGATTCCTCCCAGCCAGTTAATTCGTAGTTGTTTTCACTGTCCAGTGGCGGTAGACTTTGTTCATCAGCAAAACGATCCTGATAAGAGAACAGGAGTGAAACTTTCTTCTTATGCATCATAGTGAAGGATTAAATGTTTGCTTTCAAGTCACGATGAATAGTGCGGTTCATGAAAGGAGCGCTTCTGTAAATAGAGTTGTAAAATTGAGTTGGATACACAGTGCTTAAGAGTTATGCATCGACGTAAATTTCCCCAACTCCTCGGTTTATCATCGGTACTGTACTTTCGCTCTGACGAAGGGTTAACGCTCGAAATGTCAGCTTTGAAACTCTTTACGGTGGCCAATTTACATTATAATCTAGTTGATAAAACCAAAGTTACTTTGTTACTGCCACCGACGCAGCACCACTGTTTCAGTTTAGAAACTTACCACCTTAATTTTTTATCAACGGTACGCTTTTACAATGGCTGCACGAACAAATCATTCACCTCAAGCAGTTCCTTCACAGCCTCTTTAATCTGTGGAGAGTCAATGGACTGCTGCTCGAGGATGTGAGGGGCGACGCCACAATACTGCATCTCTACAACTCTACTTGCAACATTTCTAGTGTGAGCCTCTGAAACGGTTACCAGTCGTTTCGTACCCACGGTCATTTCTTACCCAGCCGTTTCGTACCCAGTTAAGTCGATTCGTACCCAGTCAGCTAAGTCGTTTCATACCCATACTAAT